ATTGGAAATAGGCTGACCTTCTGAAATAGTGTTACAAAGGTGAACTAAATTTGGAGTAGTTATTTGGCAAAGCTCTTAAAACATTCTGCCAGAAACTCAGCACTTAAACTACTGCTTTGTTGTATTTAAGATTCTTTAAAAGCTCTGTCATTCCTTCTAGTGATATATTTTTTGGGTGGGTATCTGAATTACTAATTTCCTTACTTTCTGTAGCCAAAGGTCCATTCAGTATTTTTCCACCTGTTGTTTTATTCCCATCCATTTGCCATTTAAGAAGGAAAGCTAGGAATTCTGAATTTCTGTTGCCAGACTCACAGTATTTTTGTTTTCAACAGAAAAATATTTTGTTACTATATGCTTCAAAGAGAGGGGGTGGGGAGATCATTTTCCAAAATTTAATTTTCAAATCAGCAGTATCTACCAAAAAGCTTGATTCAGAATAAATCCTTATTATCCTTATTATACCAGTACATTTGTGAAATACTAAGATCTCTAATACACCCTTCATAGCATCACATACCACCAGGGTGGACTTGATTTAAATCAAGTCAGTTTAAATCATGATTTAAATCACTAGTAAAAAGGCTTGACTTAAATCAACTCAATTTAATTTTAATCATAATGTTTAAAGAGCTGTCATCTCTGCTGTGAAATTGTATCAATGCAGTGCAAGTTATCTCAGCTTGCAGAGCCTGGATTCATTGAATGAGTTTACCAAAAATGTCAATATTGCAGAATATACAGCCTCATTCTACATCATTAAGTTCCATTTCATGATGAATAAACTAAATTATTAATGTATCTTTAAATAGAAAACTATCTTTAGATTTTTACTCCAATTTTATTAATTAAAATAAATTTAATTAAAAAAAATCAAAAATCCAATTTAAATTTTTAAAGACTGATTTGTTTTATTATTTTTTAAAATCACTGATTTTTATCCACCCTGCATAACACTCAGCAAGGAACTACAAAATGAAGTTTGGCTATTAACAAAACTGGTTACAATATACTTTGTAAAAAAAGAAAAAAAAAGTCTCATTCCTACAAGGAGAGCTCATGGAATACAGAAAATCCCTTGTTTTAGTAGGTAGTACTCTAGAAATTCCCAAATGGTATGTTGTCAAGACAGGAATCTGCAAGGCGCATCTACAGCAGAACGGTTTATTCTTATACTATAGGTTAAATATTCTTGTGACATTGTGCAAGTTTCCTTCATTCCTGCCTTGAGAATTCTGAATGTTGAAGTCAACATGTCTTAAGATTGCCAAATTGTAGAAAATATTGGTTAATGCATCTATAGTGAAAGAAGAGAAAGTTCTTGCAACTTCTCAGAGCCTTCTGCTCCAAATTCAGGTATATGCTGCCTTAGAATAGTGGATAAGCCTGGGGCTGCTGGAGCAATCTTTCAGATTTATTGCGTTGGGAAACACGGAACAGAACTCTGCTTTTCCTGGTGTCTTTCCAAGCCAATCCAAACTGGGCAATCGGGCCCTGTTTCAGTCTCCATAGACATAGATCCCTTCAGGTTCAATACACAAAGCATGGGGTGATGTGACATGTAAGCTCAGAGATGGTGAGATGTAAGCTTAGAAATGACTCAGCTTCTGAGCACAGAGATGCATTGCTTGAAGTTGCCACTCCCCTCCTTCCACCACTACATGCCTAAATTTTCAGGGAATACATAAAAGCCCCACAACATTTTTCCAATAAAAGCCCTTGATGGGGTATACACACAGGTGCACGTATGAGCCAGAACTGTTCTGACCTAGGCTTCCCCAACAGCACAAAGCTGACTCCTCGTCCCAATAAACCCCTTTTATTTAGTTTACAGTGAATTCCTCTCTAGCAAAGTCCCAGCCAACGCTCTTTGAAGATATTTCCCAATTATCAGGCTTGGAGAGTTGCCAGGTGGATATCTTTCAGATGCCACATTGTAGCAGACAATGCTTGGCAAGAATGCAGGAACAGATCTTCACCCAAATGAACTAATTGTCTCCTGCAAAACCCCATTCCCCTTTCGGTCCTCTTTTATTCCCTATGGGAGGGACCGTTCACTGTTAACCTGTGGCTTTACTCCCAAGTCGACCCTTGTTCCTTAGCTGTTCCCTTCTTCTGGCAACTCTGCACATGCGCACACTGGGAACAGGCTCCAGCTATTCTTCTACTTCCGACTCAGAGCACTCGTCAGAGCCTTCCCCAGACTCCAGGACTGGCCCATGTTCCTCCCCAACCTCCTCACTGTCTGAATCTGCTGCCAGCTCCGCTGGCCACTGGTGGGCCACAACAAGAACCATTAACCTCTCCCATGAGAAGGTTTGGTTTCTTCAATCTCTGCTGCACCTTCGTAATGCAATTTCTCTCCTACACAATCTCCCATGCAAGCTCCTCCCATTTTCCTTCTTCTGTCATCGGCACTCTTGTCCAGAGGGTGGGCCATCCAGTTTCCACAGGGGTCCTTCCTCAACATATGTTTCTTACTTTCCTCCCACCTGCCTTCATGGTTTGTATGGAGCTCTCCTGCTTGATGTAACCCCTTCTATGACCCGTGAATCTCAAGGACTAGGGTACTTATACCAACTTCACCCTTCTCCTCACTTGTAAGAAAGAGAGACCCATGGCCAGAAATAGCCTGTTTGGTGAATCTCAAATGCAGAACGCCTCGATGCCTGCATCTTGTTAGTTGACAGGAGATTGAATATGTCAAGCCAAGGACCCGCCTACATTCACCCAACTCTGGGTTAGGAAAAGGGAGTGGCAGGCAATTGCTTTCCCAACACCAGGCAATACTTGTGTCAGTGTTCCAATGAAACACCTCATGTCATTCTGCACTCAGAAACCAAGCCCATTCAAGTAAACCGTTTATTGTAGAAGTCATATTGGCACATCTTGAGAAAACCTGAATCTGAGAGTTCTGGGTTTTCCCTTCCCAATTGAAAATCAAAAGCCCACCCCCTGCACCCCACCAGTCCATCACATGGACCAATCAACCACTGTCCCAACTGGAGACATTCCTCCAGCAATTCCTCACCGGTGCAGGGTGACTTGTCCTTGACTCTATGAGAAGAATGTTGTTGAGTCTAACCTTCCATCCTTTATGAAATCCCACCTCCCAAATTCCCAGGCACTGAATGTGGCAGCCTTGAAGCTTTTATATAAAATATGACTTCCAAGGCTGACAACTTGGTGAGAAAGGAAGCAAGGGAAGCCATCGCTTTAGTTGTTCTTTTATCAAAACAGAAAGGACGGTGCCAATCACCAGCTGTCTATTAAGGCTTAATAGGGCTCCGCAATGGGGGAGGATGCCAGTTGTTATGCTAGCAACCTTCTCTGGCAGCTCAAGGGCAGCTGCCATCATCTCTTTGCAATGTCTGTGGAGATTCTCAGTCATCCAGGTCATGGTTGTCCCAAAGGTGCTTTTTCCAAGGACAACTGTTTTTTTCTTGAAGACATTTCGCTTCTCATCTGAGAAGCTTCTTCAATTCTGACTGAATAATGGAGGATAGAAGAGTTTATATTCCTTGCAATCCTTCCATCCTCCACAATTCAGCTAGAACTGAAGACACTTCTTGAATGAGAAGTGAAATGTCTTCAAGGAAAAATAAAGAAAGTCCAAGTTGCCTTTGCATCTCTTTGCAGTCTTCCACTAGACCTGAGCTTCTACAGGCCAAATATAATTTCCCTCCTCAGTTATGATTAGGGATAGTTCCTTGTTTTAAATAAGTTTACATCTTATTTATGAAATACGTGTAGTCCCTGACTTACAACAGTTCATTTTGTGACCAAAGTTACAACGGCACTGAAACGACTGACATGGCCATTTTTAACATTTAGGGCAGTTGGGGCATCCCCATGGTCACGTCATCAAAATTTAGATGCTTGTCAACTGACTCACATTTATGACGGTTGTAGGGTCCCAGAATCATGTGATTCCCCTTCTGCGACCTTCTGACAAGCAAAGTCAGTGGAGAAACCAGATTCTCTTAACCTAACAACTGCAGTGATCCGCTTTACAATGGTGTCAAGAAAGGTCGTAACATGGGGCCAAACCCACTTGGCAAACGTCTCACTTAGCAACAGAAATGTCGGGCTCCATTGTGGTCGTAAGTGGATTGCTTTATCATCCACAAACCAACAAATCGCACTGAATGTTTTAATTAAGGTGTTTGGTTTTCAGTTATGGAGAAGATTATTCTTTAGATCTTCAAACATGACCGCTTTAAGACTTCAACTCCCAGAATTCCTCCTCCAGTCATGTTAGCTCAGGAATTCTGGGAGTTTGAGGACCTTTGAGAGAGAGAGAGAGAGAGAGAGAGATAAAGATAGTTATAGAGCAGGGGTCTTCAAACTTGACAGCTTTAAGACTTGTGGACTTCAACTCCCAGAATTCCTCCTCCAGTCATGTTAGCTCAGGAATTCTGGGAGTTGAAGTCCACAAGTCTTAAAGTTGCCAAGTTCGAAGAGCCTTGATTTAGATAGATTGAAGATACCGTTAGCATAGTGCATTTCCTCGGATTTTAGCCCCATACTAGTTTCTAAATAATCTGCCAAACAAAAGAGTATTGTGGTCATAAATCGAGAATAGGAACCTTCGGGATGGAGGAGAGCATAGGAGGCAGTGCGAGGCAAGCCTCAAGGGAAACGTCTAGGTTGTCTGAAAATGCATACGTGGCCCTCCCTCTGCCAACCCCTGAATGAATATTTGTGCCCACCTGCTAGAGGTCATCCCTGACGCGGAGCCCTTTGGCCTAATTTTGGAAATCTGCAGAAGAGGAAAACGTGGGAGGGGGGCGCAAGGACAAATCCCGAGCCTTTCCCGCGAGGGGCCACCGTTACACACACCGCTCCCCTTCGCCGCCGCCTTCGCCCTGCCGGCGTTCCCAGGCAAAAGGTGAGCCAAGGGCAGCCGGCCGGCTCGGAAGCGACGGAAGGGCCCGGACTTCCTCTCCCTTCTTCTTCCTCACGATTGGCTCGGCCGGATTATGAAATGCTACAAATGGGAGGCTGCCCGCCGGCTTTGCCTCAAAAAAAGAGTCGGCCGGTTGAAAAAAGAAGCCCGCGGCACTGCGGACTCAGAGGGCGAGCAAGGTGAGGCGTAAGGCGATGAAGTCGGCCCTGGTGCTGCTGGCCGGCTGGCTGGCGCTGACCGCTTATTACGTCTACCTGCCGCTACCCAGCACCGTCTCCGAGCCTTGGCCTCTCATGATGCTGGATGCGACGTTCCGGGTCGTGCAGCAATCGGTAAGCAAAATCGTAGAGGTCCTTCGCTCGCTCTCCCCTCCCTCTTCCCCTTCCCCCCCACCCTCTCTCTCCCTCCTTCCGTCTGTCTGCCTGTCTGCCTCCCTGCCCGCAGATCTCTGGGTTCACACGACGCGCGCAGTTAACGAGGAGAGAACTAGCGGGTTACCTTTGGCAGGAGCCGCCCAGCAGAGTCACTGTTATCCCCGATTAACAGGCTACATCTTTCGATCGCCAGTTTCCGATTCCACCCATTCGGTCCCAGACAGACAGACAGACACACACACACACAACACACGCGCGCGCGCGCACACACAACTAGTTTCCGATTTCACCCATTCGGTCCCAGAGAGAGAGACAGACAGACAGACAGACACACACACACTGCTAGTTTCCGATTCCACCCATTCGGTCCCAGACAGACAGACAGGCACACACACAACTAGTTTCCGATTCCACCCATTCGGTC